TGGCATTAAAGTTGTGAGCAAGCAATTTCACTACTGCATAAATTAATTTCCTCTGGAGCTTCCTTCCTGAGCTAAGACAAAAATATGTGAGCTGGAGGCTAAAAACCTGTGAGCTAACTCACACTAACTCAGCTTAGAGGAAACAGTGCTCCATAGTATTTTTTTCTAAAAAGGCTACCATGGGCATGATGGGGGAAATGGTGGCCACGGAGTCTAGAGTAGGGGGGAAAGCCCGGCCACCTTGTTAACTTGCAGCTCAAAACAACCTGTTAGAGGGCCATTTTCAGGAGCCAGTTTTAACTTTCCACGAAAGGATCCCTGCAAACAACACCTTTCACTAAACAGCCTACCAATGCATTCGTGCTCTTTTTGCCAAGCCCCTCTCCTCTTAATGAGATTAATTGATCTGCGTTAAGATGACTTGTCCTGAAATCATGATCAACATTGTGAGAGCAACCTTTTAAATGTTATTTATAGCTTGCCTTTCTCACTGGGACTCAAGTGTGGGTCAATACAATCAACAAGATGGAATATTCAATAAACAATGGGTTGTGTGACCAAGCAGGCCTATAAAAACAGTACTGAAGCGAAGCACAAGCGTTAACACCACACATTAAATGATGCAAAATTACACAGTAAGATCCAGGTCACTGTAATATACATGAGTTAGGGTTGCCAGATCCCCCATGCCCACCAGTGGAGGATGGGGGGGGGGGTTAGGATTGCTAGAACCAGGTTAGGAAACTCCTGGAGATTTGGGGATGGATCCTGGGGGGGGCAGGGGCCTCAGTGGGGTACAGTGCCATAAAGTCCACCTTCCAAAGCATCTATTTTTGCCAGGGGAACTAATCTGGAGATGAGCTATAGTTCCAGGGGATCCGCAGGTCCCACCTGGAGGCAGGTGGTATCTGAATTTGGAGAGCTCCTGCTATTAACAGTTCATCTCTCCACACAACCAAGATCAGTTCCCCTGGAGAAAATGGCCGCTTGGGAGGGTGGACTCTAGGGCATTATACCCTGCCGAGGTCCCTCCCTTCCCCAGACAACACCCTGCCCAGGCTCCACCCCCAAAATCTCCAGGTATTTCCCAACTCAGAGCTGGCATCCCTAACAGTAGTATAGGCCACAGTCCCTAATCATTTATCCAAGTAACTTTGTGACTCATACAGTTGCTTGACATGATGACCGAGGCTGGTTTGTCGCTGATTGTTTTTACCACGCCCTTCTGTGTTTCTTTCCCAAATCCGTTTCTTTAAGGCTGGCTGCCAGCAGGCCTTGGTCGGGCCCAGGCACTCAAGGGGTTACTATGGCAACCGGAAACAAACAGTGAAACTCAACTTCTTTCAGGCGGAGGAGCTAACGGTAACAACCCTGGGGAAGGGGGGGACTGTAAAGGGAGGGCAGTTTTAGATACCCCTTTGGCTCAAATTTCCCTAGAATTGAAGCCTAAGGGCTTCTCTCCCTCATATTTGTTGTTGTTTAGTCGCACAGTCGAGTCCGACTCTTTGCGACCCCGTGGACCAGATCACGCCAGGCCCTCCTGTCTTCCGCCGTCCTCTGAAGTTGGCTCAACTTCATGTTCATTGCATCGATGACACTGTCTAACCATCTCATCCTTTGCCGTCCCCGTCTTCTTTTTGCCGTCCCTCATATTCCCCCCTCCCAAATGGCATTAAAGTAGGAGGGGGGCGGTTGCCTATTTTTCAGATATCCTGGGATGGGAGGAGGGAGAACAGAGCTGGTTGCTTTCTGCAAAAGAGATCTTGTTTCACTGCCTGCATTTCTCTAGCCAGGGAAGTAGTACTTAATGAGCCTCGCAGATCCATGGAGTGGGTGCAGAAATGCAGAACTGCTCAGACAGAACATAAACACAGGTAGACAACTCTGATTTAAACCATTGAATGGTGTAACGTTACATGACCGCTTACTGTGTGGCATTCACCTGCTGCCTTTATATCTTGGACATCAAGAAAAGGTTTAGTTCTTATGGAAAAAGGGGGTAGAATTCCTCCTTGTTTCTCCAGGAGGGTGGAAATGTATCCGTATATAACTACATAAGAAGATCTCCATAAGAATAGTGAAAAACCAGTTGCCCTGGAAGACTCAGAAATGATATAGAGGTCAAGACCTTCTCCCTGATGTTGCCTCCTAGCTCTCCTAGCTTACTGCTTCTGTTCATGGAGGTTCGCTTAAGTCACCATGGCTAGTAGCTATCAGTGGACCTCTCATTAATGAATTATTTTAATGAAAGTTCCCCCCTTCTCCCTTGTGGCTGCAGCCCTGAATTTCTCACACAGTGGCTCTTTTTTGTTTGATATATTTAGATTCTACCTTTCAGACAATTATTTCCCAAAGCAGCTCACATCAGTAATGCAACAGCCCTGCCCTGCCTTCAGGTCTGCAGTCAAAAATGACAAAGATAGTCCAGGGAAGGGGAGATCAGCTGTGCATTTAGAATATATGTACGATTGGGCCAGATTGATCTTCTCTTTGGTGTGGTGGTTAAGAGCAGTGGACTCTATTCTGGAGAACTGGATAAGATTCCCCACACCTCCAGATGAAGCCAGCTGGGTGACCTTGGGGCAGTCACAAGATCTCTCAGAGTTGTCCTCTCAAGAGCAGTTCTCAGGAGAGCTCTCTCAGCCCCACCCACCTCATGGGTCTACACCAAACTGGCTCTCAAGATCTCTAATACATTGCCAGGAAGGAATGGATATAGAAATAATAGAGGGGTGTGTCTTCAGAGTGAAAGGCTGGGTATACATCCCTTCTCCTTGTATGGCCCTTATTCGTCTGGCAAATGATAGGAGCCCAAGTGTTTCGAGTGAAAGGCTGGGTATACATCCCTTCTTCTCCTTGTATGGCCCTTATTCATTTGGCAAATGATAGGAGCCCAAGTGTTCCTGCAGTCTGAAGACCCCCACTGGAGCAGTTCTTTCAGGGAGGGAACTATGCTCCCTGGTGCTGCTGCTGCTTCTCTAATTTATAGCTGCAGCCAGGCTATGATGTTTTTCTTGTGAAGGAGTGGGTGTAATCTCCCAGCAGCCTTTAGTCCTCTAGCCAAGTGATAAAAGCCAAGGGGTCTTTTCCTTGCTTCCATGATCTCTGGGCAAATGGCTGTGCAGATGTTTCATGAAGTGACCTGACTGCATCAGTGGTGACCTAAGTAGAACCAGGTGAAATTGGGCTTTTCCTCCTGTTTGCCATTTCGCTCTGTGAAATGTAATTCCTTCGCCAGCTTCTCCCCGTCTCACCCCCCACACACACACACAAATTCTGGAGGGACTTGTATCCTCTTCTAACCCTAAAACAAACACAGCTGGGAGGAAAAGTAAAGGACCACCAGAGTAAAAAGCATGACATCCAGGGAGGCTCCAGCTGTCACAAGGGTGCCAAGTCCAGGTTCAGAAATACCTGGAGATTTGAGGGTGGAGCCTAGGAGAGTGGGGTTTAGGGAGGGGAGGGACCTTGTCAGTAGGGTTGCCAGGTCTGGGTTGGAAAATACCTGGAGACTTTGGGGGTGGGTCCAGGAGAGGGTGGGGTTTGGGGAGGGGAGGGGCCTCAGCATGGTACAATGCCATAGAGTCTACCCTTCAAAGCAGCCATTTTCTCCAGGGGAGCTGATCTCTGTCAGCTGGAGATTAGTTGTAAAAGCGGGAGATCCCCAGGCCCCACCTGGAGGTTGGCAACCCTACTTGTCAGAGTATAGTGCCCTGCAGTCCACCTTCCAAAGCAGCCATTTGCTCCAGGGGGAGTGGAATAAATGTCTTAAATAAGTAAATAATAAAGAAGTGGTTTCTGTGGTCTGGAGGTCAGTTGTAATTCCGGGAGAACTTCAACCGTCACTTGGAGGTTGGCAGCCTAGTAACTGGAACAGTTCCCTGGCAGATTAAGTACACTTTTTGTGAGTTATGCCCTAACCTTGCAGGGGAGGGAGAATCTCAGGTGTTTCACCTTCCCATGCCTTCTCTGTTTTCCATCCTTCTCTCTCCACCCAGCAGCCTCTTCACTTTCCCTCCTTCCTTCTCTCTCTTCTACAGACCTGTTCTCTATCGGTACTGAGAGGCAAAATACTGTTGGCTTGTTCTTTTTTAATCTGTGTATTAAAGTAAGCTTACAAAGCTTCCTTTTGTCATTTAGGGCTGCAGTCTACAAACTGCATAATTACCAGAAGTCTCACTGAAATTTTTGAACAAGTCCAGGCAGGGGCGGTGTCAGCAAAAACCTATCAAGGAACTCAGATTGTGTAAAGTGGATTTATTGGGGGGGGGGGAACGGGGGACTTTGCCCCATATGTCAAATTTCTGAAAGAGACGTATAGGTGCAGTTCACAACCTTGCTTTTTCTAAACACATTTTCTGTGCAGGAGAGTAAAGGTCCCCTTGCTCGAAAGCCAGTCGAATCCGACTCTGGGGTTGCGGTGCTCATCTCTGTTTCAAAGCCAAAGAGCCAGCGCTGTCCGAAGATGTTTCCGTGGTCATGTGGCCGGCATGACTAAACACTAAGGCGCACGGAACGCTGTTACCTTCCCACCAAAGTGGTACCTATTTATCTACTTGCAATTTCTTGCTTTCAAACTGCTAGGTTGGCAGGAGCTGGAACTAGAGATGGGAGCTCACTCCATCATGCGGCACCTGGGTCTCGAACTGCTGAACTACTGACCTTCCACAGCCTGCAGTTCAGCATCTTAACCACTTGAGCCACCGCAGCTCCTGCAGGAGAGTAAACTGAAGACTAAAAAAAAGTGTGCAGATGACTGATGGAAGTTGATTTCTTATGCAGTTTTGCCAAACAGTTAACACAGCAGTGTAACTCTGCAGCCTTTGCCACTCTCTCTTCCCATTCAGGGCATGTAATAATTATTGTTAATAAAAGTGATAAATCAGGGAAATGAGCACCATCGATCCAGATCAGGAACTATAATCCATGTAATTTATTGTTTTATAGGATAATCCAGCACCAAGCATCTTCCAGCAAGCTGAACAAGAAGAATCAGAACCATGAGCAAACTAGGGTAAGGCTGTAACAGGAAGAGTCCCATATTCCTAACAAATAAGATGAAGATTGTGATTCTGTGTGTGTTTATTCAGAGATAAGCGTCACTGTGTTGAATAGGTTATATGCCTTTTTAAGTGCGCATAAGCAATCCTGTTAAATTCAGTAACGTTTACTATTGAGTAAAAGTGGTTGGATTAGCCTGCATGGCTACAGTCTTATAGACTCTTGACCAGTAAACCCTGTTGAATTTAGTAGCGTTTATATTTGAGCTAATGTGCATAAGGCCTGGTTGTTTGTAAGCCTTTTAATTCCATTGCAGCAGCTCCAAATGGTACCGATGTGATACAGAAAGCAGATGACAGTCTTTTAGGGTACTGATTCAAAATTTAGTGTACTGCTATTAGCTTCGTGCTAAATTCCATTCTGGATATCACTAGTGAAAGCATCCTTAAAAGGAGTCTCAGCCACCAAAGCCACTTCAGAGTTCATTAGTAACTGGAGCTTAATGAGGACAATAATTTGTGATCTTTAAGAATGCTTAAGTTAAATGCTTTCCTGGTGGCCCTCACTACAAGGGATATTTTACGTTTGCGTATGTTTCTCAAAGTGATCTGGGTTTTCTGGATATATGTTCATACCTCACTTCCATTATGAAACGATGGAATTTTTGACAAATTTTCACTCCCAGATCACAGTTCTGGTAATAAAGGCTGATTGACACAACTGTCTCACCAAATTGGAAACATTAGCCAAGAAGCAAAAAGATTTTGAAAATGATTCTCAGTAATCACTGTGAATGATACTCCTGAACGATATTATTTTAGGAGATTTTCAGAATGTAAGAGTGAAGTGGAGTCTTTTGTGGATTTCTACCGTTATGAGGAAGAAAGAAGGGAAGTAGCAGCAAGCATGATTCAGCGAGCCTGGAAAAGATGGCTGGTGAGTCAGAAGGGCCGCTTTTTGAAAATGCCTGCCTATTGAGTCCAGAATGAAATGTTCAGTAACTGTAAAGTCGCTATTCAAAATGTCTGCTGGCTGAGTCCTGTTAGAAATGTTGAAGGCCAGTGGCTTAGCCTAGCACATGCCCTCAGGCTGCATACAATTTGCACTGAAAAAAATGAAGATGGGTAGCCGTGTTAGTCTGTCTGTAGAAGTAGAAAAGAGTAAGAGTCCAGTAGCACCTTAAAGACTCACAAAATTAGTCTGCAAAGTGCTACTGGACTCTTGCTCTTTTCTACTGAAAAAAACAGAGCATGTATTGGTCTTTCTGATGCTTCACCTGCCTTTGTTCTTAGAGGTATAGCAACTGTTTTGAAAACTGCTCCATCCCCAACTTGTTTAAATTTTTGTTTAGATTTTTAAAGGCCTCCCCCCCCCCGTTTGTTACACTTTGGAAGTTATTCTTAGGATACGGAGGTGGTCACTTTGTGACTGACACGAGGGCCAGCCAGTTAGTGTTGTTTTCAGCTTTGTGTTCCTAAAGTGTTGGTGTGTGTGTCTTTTGTTTGCTGCTTAAATTCGGAGACCCCCTCAAATGTGTAGGCACCTCTACTTTGTTTGTGGCTGATCTGGTTTTATTGGTTTCCTAAGTCACACAGGGAACAGCCTCTATCTGATATAGTAATGTTGTACGCAAAATGGGACAGAGAACTTAGCAGTGATAGCTGTGTTGTCTCCTGTGCAGGATATCGGTGTGTTTGAGTACTATAAAGATCTAATAGGCTTTAAGCGATGTGGGGAGCCTTCACGTCTGATGAGGTACATTGAACCCAGAGAGGTAAGTGCGGAATTGATGAGGATGTTTGATGAAACACCTCATGGCCCAATGCCTTGTCTAATTCAGGCCTCTGAGAAGTAATTACTTTGTACCGTTCTGAATTACTTGATTAGAACAGCAATTAATTGCATGGCTATAAGTAAGATTAAAAGGGACGCGTAGGTAAAGCAGTAGTCTGCAACATCAGACCTCAGACTTTAGCAGACAGCACCCTTCCTCCTTTTGATTCAGATATTTTTGCCTTCCTCTCCTCCTGCTCCAGCACTCACTGAACAGCCCCTTGTCAAAGCATTTCTGTCAAGTCACATAGTTCCGATGGGGGCTTTTTCCCCTCATCTTCAAAACAATAGTATGAGACCCTTATCAGCTTTCCCTGAAAACTAAGTTTAAGAAAAATGATTTTATTATGTTGTCGAAGGCTTTCATGGCCGGAGTTCATTGGTTGCTGTAGATTTTCCGGGTTGTGTGGCCGTGGTCTTGCCATTGTAGAACCTGACATTTCGCCATAACTGTGACTGGCATCTTCAGAGATATAACACAGAAAGATGGAGTACTCTCTGTGCCTTGACACAGAGAGTACTCCATCTTTCTGTGTTACGCCTCTGAGGATGCCAGTCACAGCTACTGGTGAAGTATCAGGTTCTACAATGCCAAGACCACTACAAGACCAAGACTACAATGCCAAGACCATGGCCACACAACCCGGAAAATCTACAGCAACTAATGATTTTATTGTCCATATATCCAGTTCTCAGGGTTAGCTGATTTTGCAGGGCCACAACTCTCAAGACCCTGTCCCAAGATTTTTACACCACAGACAGCACAAAGCTTCCTTATTGATTAACTTCTAGAGGCCAGCTGAACAGCAGCGGGAACAGGTCTGGAAAAAATGTCAGAGCTTATAGAAATAGACAAAATCTTAGTTTCTGGTATTCAGCTGAAAATTGCCACTGACTGTTATTTTCTTCAGGATTCAGAGTGGTATGCGTTCTCTCTCTCTGCTGAAATTATTTGCATAAGAAAATTGAGTGAAAGTCAGATCAATTTTATATCTGAAGTAACCATGATGACTACATTAGGACTGGACTTCCTTGGAGCCAAGAACAAATCAGTGTGCTTTCTGGCTAGTGCTCTGAGGTGATTTGGAAGCTTGGTAGTTGTGGGCGGCGGCAGCCTTCAAAAGAGGGGGAAGCATTCTGTGCTGTCCCCCTGAGGTGAAGAATCCTTGGCCCAATTTTTGTAGAAAACTCAAAAGATTCTATTTTGATGTTAATCAGGTGGGTATAAGAATGACCGCCGCCCCCCCATGGTATCTGGACCCCAGTAATCTAAAGGCCCTATTCTTCTTTTCCTTTGGTTGCAGGCAGAATTCCTAGATGCTGCAGCTGGGGTTCATATCAGATTCAGACTAGGTGGGGTATGTATAAATTGTATGATGATTTTGAAGAGGGCAAATGCAATAAATGAAAATATATTTTCATTTTTTATTCTCTATCTTTTGAAACCTATTGTTTAAAAATGGTCTTGAGCATTAAGGGTCAAGGGGGGGGGGAAGTCAAGATTTCCTGGGCTTGGTTACAGCAGTTTACAACCTCGGTCCATCTAAATGGCAAGCAGCCTGAAGGCCACTCTATCATTGACATGAGTATTTCTCTCCCCCTCCCTCTTCCTATGTGACAAGCAGAGATGCATAATAATATTTAACA